GTTCCCGCCGTCTCTCACCTGTACTTACCTGTATCGGTACCCCCATACGAATGCTTCCCGCCACCTGGCGTTCGGTATTCCATTGCATAAGTTTGCAACTTTCCTCTGCTCTATCGACAAACATTCATAATGCTTATCAGCGATTAATCCTGTATTTAGTTGTTCCTTCAAGTACAATATACTCCGCGACATATGATCTTGTTTATTCTCTCTTCTGACGTAATTTATGTTCGAATGATTTGTTCGGGATTGTTTTATTGAGATTTTATAACAAACACCATGCAAAGATTACACTGGGCCCAGAATTTTACAGTGATATATTCATTTATTTCAACACACTTGTTAAATACATAAGTGGCTTGCCGTTGAAATCGCTTATGTCAGATAAAGAAAACCGCTAGTACTGCAAAAAAGATACTCTTGAATGCACTTGAATAATGATCTCCACGAGTGTGCTTCTCACTATTTAATCCATGTCTTCTTGACGCATTTACTTATTCCTAAGACATTGACTTGAAATAATTGCGAAATTTATAAAAACTACGTTCTCGAAATGTATCATATTTGTATTGCGCATTTATTGCTTTTAATTAATTTCATTTATGCAAAGATTCGATTTAATTTATGAGGTTTTCTATAAATGTTTAAATTAACAATCTTATAAATTCATCTTTTCAAAATTAACTTTCCAACATACGTTTTATCAACATTTAAAATAAATATTGATCGTGTGTTTCATGAGTATCTTTCTATTAATCGTGTTAACATACTTCTGGTTTTAATTTAATTGAACATTTATAAATATTGTACTTGAATTGTAACACTACAACGATTGTAACAAGCAATCATTTCTACTTTTGTTAGACCTTATTACAATTTCATCACAGCTTGATTATGTTCATCTTGTTGATATTTAATTATCATGTCACGTATTTACATTGTATTGGTATAAATAACAAAGTAATACCAGTAGGTTCTTCATCTTCAATAACGGGAGGTACATTATCATTTTTGTGTATTATAAACACTTGAATCTTTTGTGTTATATTTAAATCAATGATGGAAATCTCTATCAAGTTACTTTTAATTCATTGTTTCGACAGTTCACCCGAGAGAAGTTTTTCTAATTGGTTTCCAATTACCAAATTTTAAGACATTGTAGTTTCTAAAATTAAATAATTATTTACGCAAAATATTCTTTAACGAAAGAGTTTCACGATATGTAGAACTCAATGCATTAGATTTGAGTTTACTTTTTTCAAAGATTTATCATTCTTACACACTTCTTTTAAACATTGGTCCATTCGAATTCGAATAACATTTTCTGTTAACAAACGCGACTTATATCGCCCCGCTTGAGTAGACAATGCCTTTTCCGCAGTTCTGTTGCCAATTTTCGGTACGAAATGTTGAAGAAAAACAAACGAAGCAGTTTCTCCGCGTACTAAAGATGTTCCTACATCGGTTCTGTATGTGTTTGTGTTCCGAATTAAAAATAAATTAACTAGAGAACGTTGTTTTCCATCGTGCGTCAACGCGACGTCTTCAATTGCGTTTCGTTAACGTCGGCGTATCATCGTAAGAGAAATATAAAAATAGCTGTTTACATTCATTTGGCTAAGCCCTCGTTTTTAAAAAACAACGCGTGCACCACGCGCTGTTGATCGATTGTCACTTTTGTCATACTTCTTTTTTATCCTCAATCGTTCCTATCAACTGCAAGATTCATTGAATGTCTTCGTTCTCGTTATACTATCCATGAAAAATATTTTACAAGAATTGATTTCGATATAGGACGTTGATACAATGAAACAGATGGCAATTCATCTCGAACACGCGATTTAACAATACAACAATAAATTCCTCCCTCGAATCTCGTCAATGTATTATTAGAGACGCTTTAGCGTTTTACAAATATAGTGTCTTAGATCATACGTACATGTTTAAAGCGAGTTCGATATAACAAAACCGTGTCGTATAAATTACATCGACTTTCTCAGAAACTTTTTAATATGTTTTTTTAACACGTGAAAGAACGATGATCGAAATGTTGCTATACGTTTTTATACATTAATCTAGAAATCCGGTAGAGATGACGAAGTATTATATGAAAATTAAAAATTGGAGGATACTTTTAGAAGTATTTTGTTGTACTTGTATATTCCAACAATTATTATATATTGCAAATTTTGCAGAAGCATTAAAGACTTTTAACGAATGGAAGGTGTTTGACACCTTGCCAAAACTGAAATAGCGCGAAATATCCAATACATCCGTTTCTTAATTCGTAATCACTTTTTTTACGAACATTTTCATCTCTCATATAACGCGTCAGAGGTTGTTATGATTATTCTTGGCAGAAATATGTTGTTTTATGATTCAAGTACAATTTCTACGTATCATTGCTATAAATATTGAGTTTGTACATTACTAATGGATCGTGTGAGGAGATATACATATACAATGACTCACAGGTTCATACACATTTTTCTTTATCTCTGGACGATGGCATATTCTTCGGTAATCGTGCAGATATACATTTAGCTGTCATCTTTTTACAATTTCAGACGTAAGTCAAACTGTATAAATAAACGACGAACCTATGTAAATGAATTTGTGAGTCATGGTATTTTTTTTATTCGTCGATTAGATGCATTTCTCTCATTTTTTATCTATAAATAAAATAATATTCTTTGGAAATGATTGTCTTGCAACGAAATGGAATCCGTGGAAAGCCATTCTAGCTTCACTTATGCTACAGTTTGAGATCATTGAGCATGTTTCACGTTTCACTGACGTTTACATATCTACATTTTACATTCAACGCTATCTACAACTTATACAAAATAGAAATGTTTTAGTTACGTAAAAAATATCGAAAGCAAGTTCAGCGAAAGTTTCCGCCCCTTAAAGGACTGAACAGTAATAATCATTCTTCTTTTAAATTGTGCTTCATATATAATAACTACAAATAGTACACGCTTTTGGTATTCTAAAGAATACGTTATTAAATAACAAACAGTTACGTCAATTTGAATGCACAAGTTAATCAGTTTCTTGAATATCCCTGTGAACCTGTATTTTACATTTTCGTACAATCCCTCTTCAAACCTCGTCGTCTTCTATGTACACAGTAGTTTCCTCACATCTTACAAAATCTTGCAAATCCTCGCTGCAAAAGTCATTCGCATTTTCTCCTTGTTCCTTTTGAGACTTCTCTGTTTTTATCATGGCTTCAGTTTCCTGCAGATCGTCCCTCAAATTTTCTATCTCGACCTCTGGTACGTTCTCCAATTCCGGTTCTTCTAACAAGGCATCAGCTTCCGTTGGTCCTTCGGACGATACGTTAGCAGCGATCGGCTCGTCGACATCGATTCCATGACTCTCGTCGGAATTGTCCGCCCGACTTTCTTCCGTGTCAAGAGACGTTACCGTGAAATACTTGAACTCCGCCTCGCAGCCACCGCTCTCGATAACCGCTTGCGTGTTCAACGAGTATCTGCTTAATTGAGCATCCTTCTGCTGTTTCTCAAAAGACGCTCTCTTATTGTCATCCGATCTGGAATGATGCAGTTTCGGCTGCCGTTGCCTCCTAAGATTCTCGCCGCTGCTCGCCCTTGATCTGATTCCCACCTCGTCGGATAGGTATTTGGTGCAATCGATACTGAATCTCTCCGCTGACAATTTCCTAGAATAGATTTATTTCAAAGTCCTCCTCCGTTCCCTTCCCACGGCGCAGAATACGTCAATGGAGTTCATTATAATCCGACTTACCTGTAGTCAATCCTACGAAAATCCGGACTCTTTTTAAACTCGAGGCTGGCTTTGCGATGACCCATTGACTTGTCTACTTTACGTTCGCTTCCAGTTTTGTCAAACGACATCCTGTGAAAGCTCTGAGAGGAGATCTTCCGGAAATCCCTTGGAGATATTTTTGTGAGATCCTTCGTCGCGGCCAGCTCTTCGAGCAGTCTTATATCTATCGAATTTCTTTTCCTCGGTACAAAATCATCTGGGTATTTACTGTAGGCACCTGCGCAATGATACAGAGAGCAGCTTACAATCGACTCTTTATCCATTTATCCATCAGTGCCAAGTTACCTGTTAATTTAGGCGAATAACCGCGAGTCATCAGCGATTTGGCTGCTTCGTCGACCTCTTCGACATATTCTACTTTCGTCTGTCGAAGTAATTGATGGCGTCTCGCCGTGTCTGACCTGTCCTTAACTTTCAATGTGACTGGACCTTTATCAGGAATGTGCAGATCCATCGCCATCGATCCTTGGCTACCTCCCATCTTCTGCTGATCCAAACTTTCCCTGCTGACCTATTTAAATGTTAATTGCAATAATAATTCGTCGTGAAACGTGATGTGTTCCTACTTTATTGTACCTGGGGGCTGTAGCTCGGATTATCAACGGAGAGAGCGTGTCTCTGCAACAAATCTGGATTTAATAACGCGCAGCCAGCGTACTTCGACGTTCTTTTACGAGGTGATTTCTTATCGATTAACGTAGGCGCGCTGGGACTCTTCTTAATCGAGTGCCCGGCCTGTTTCTCGTTCAGTTCTTTAGAGAACTGCATAAATTTTGTTGTCAGTTGCTTCCTGGACACTTCGTGTACACTTGGGCTCGGGCTTTTGTTCATTCTAAACACACCAAGCTGGTGATCCCACTTGGTCGTCTGGCTAGACGTGGACCTACGATTCCGTTGATTCCTCGTATTTTTTATTGTCGACGCTTGAGTGAAACGAAAACGTGCGGGTACCACTTTTGCAGCGTTATCGCGGGCCTCAAACGTCATTACACAAGCTGCTACCACGATAAAGCCTGTGAAGTTTTAATGTATTATTCACAGATCAATGAGTCTGTGTGATAGTTTTATCTCCGCTGTCCCTCATCATACGATTCTACGTTTATCAAATAAAAATATTTGTTCATCCGTAATATTGAATGCAAATCATTTTATAAATTCATTGTACGCAGTACACATTGTTAATCTTATCGTAAAAGATAATCTATTTGAAAAATTGATCAACTCGACCAATAGTTCATTAATTGCATTGAACTGCTTCAGTAGTCTTTTTTAATGAATAATAATTAGCATATTAAGAAATTTTCATGTTGTAAATAGAAAATATTTTTAAAGTACGTAAGAATTAATGTCCGGTGGGATATACGATTTTCAAGCAGTAGGTAATAGCCTGAGCCTCCATAGCTCAGGGGTTAGAGCACTGGTCTTGTAAACCAGGGGTCGAGAGTTCAAATCTCTCTGGGGGCAAACTTTTTTTCCCCCTTATTTCTCTAAAAATAAAAATCCTAAGTGTGTTTTAACATTAATGAACTACGTTCCTTCATTATTACATGAATGAAACTTTCTACGAAGTTAGTCTTTCTCCGATACTTTACGTTCCACGTTCATTCAATTACTTTTTCGCATTATAACGCAGCTGAAACTGCTGAAGCATCGTTTAAAAATGTATAAATGAGTTTGTATAATTTGTTTCGTTCGTAGCTTGAAATTTTGTGTCGGAAGTCGTAAGTACTTCGCTCGTTTCAAGCGTTTGGCTTGTAGTAATACGAAACTAGGGTATGACACACAGTGATTGATGTAGATTAGTGTAGATAATGATGTATGTGAAATACATAGTTCTACAACTGAACTGTGTAAAATGACGAACATGTGAGGATATTAAGGAATGATTAATTACCTCCTACGCCCATCACGATTGGGCCAGCGTAACTAAGATTGTTCAGATGAAATCCACGCGATTCGTTCTTCACATCTATTGTTAAATTACCTCTGACCTCTTGCGCTACGGACAGCTGGTCCGCGAAGTATCCTGTACGACATGCATATTTAAATTTTGCCAGTAAATATTACAAACTGAGAAAAGGAAGTACAATATAGAATTTCGCAGATTAATTATTTTTCGTAATATGCTAAATTTTATTAGATTGCATTCAGTTAATGGAATAATTATTATTAATAATTGTGCAATGCTGTTAGTTAATATTTAGAAAAATCGGTAGTGGATGCATGCAGATCAATATTTACGAACCTGCGAGCATTAAAATTATACGTGTTATGCGGTGCAAGTGTTATAATTATTAGAAAATTAAAAAGAGTGCAAAAATGGAATTTTTAATCAATAACGTGTGTCCACAAGAGACGAGAAAAATGTCTTTTATGATTGCATTCTCAATTCTTTGTTAGTTGTGAATTTTTGTTGGAAAAAGTATTCGGCTTTAAATGGTCCACCGTTAGACAGTTCTTAGGTAATTTGTAGCAGTAATAATGTTAATGGAAAACCATTTATTAGTCTCTAGACACTTCTACTCACCTATGGTCGCCATGCAAGCTCCTAAAAGCATTAGTAGCAGACCAATTCCGAGAGCTTTGCAGGCATACCACAAGCACTGCGTTGTCATCTTGCCTCTCACCACCTATTCGATTTAATTGCTTTCTTTAATAGTCAATAACCTGGACGGTGTCCAGTCGTTTGATGGCCGCTTTGGTAAATGCTTTACCTTCGTTTGTATCAAACCAATTCATTTCTCATTTTCGCTCGGTACAATTTCTCTTGATAAGAGATAGCATTTTTAAATCGGTTTTTTAATACCAATTCAACTGTTATTCATTTTTGACGATGTAATTATTAATATAAAATACCCTTTAAAAGACTACATACGTATTTTACTTCTTGAGAATATAGATTTTTCTTTATAAATATTAAACAGAAGAATATTGGAGAATATATTAAGCTTAGAATTCGATACTGAGCCTAAATAAATTTTGTATCTAAATCATGCTATTTCTAATATTTTACAATACCTAGACTATCGAACTACTTCTAAAGAAAGAAGAAACATACTATAGAATAAAAAGATCGAGAATTTAATGTAAGTTACTTCGTGTAAACAAGTTCATTTTCGGTTACTTTATATAATAATAATATACTGTTTAATAAAGCTTTTAGAAACGAAGGTACAGATTCCATATAGGAGTAAAGATACGCAAGCCGAGATATGAGTGTTATGTTCGCGAGTATATGTTTCCGTGATAGTGGGATCGGGCGGAGTAGTGATACCGTGTTAGCGGGGCATTAATTTTGTATGCTTAGCTTGGAAGTTCGTAATATACCTGGACATTCCAGTGTGCTCCTGGAGCGCAGGCTCTTCTCTGCGTCCCTTGCCAATGAATGCTTCCTTGGGGCATTTTGCACGCCTGAAGTTAAATAAATTTTCCATTATTAACAGAGATCGCGTGCATCACGGCGTTTCTAACACACTATAAAACGAGATAAAAACAGTTAAAAGATTGCACGAATGAATTAAAACCGAAAATGATTAATGTTTATTGCGAATTCACTCTGTTTTTGGTCAACTTAATATGTTTATGTCATTTAATAGTCGTGTTGCCATTAGGAAATGTTGAATAAGTTACGTTTGTAACCTGTTCGTTCGAAAATAGAGTAATACTAGCTTGCTCAGTGCCCCATTTCATTTAACAGAAGGCGAAAATCCTTGCCTGGCTTTAATTCAACTTCGTGATACGTGTATAGGGTGTATAGTACTTGCTTTGGCTTTTACCACCGTCTCATGCTGATTCACTTTTACGCAGGGGTAGGTAAACAGAGCACGGGCGTGTGTTTGTGTAAAATTATCTGTCAGTTTTCGACGTGTACGCACGTTAGGCTCGCGAGCATACCCATTGTTCCCTCTTGTTTCCTATCTTTCCCTCATCTTTCGTCTTCCTGCTTTCTATCGATCCAAATCCTCCTTCACGCTCTCTTCCGCAATTTCTGCGCGAAACTAGAAACTTGCTAGTTTTACGGACTTAAGCAGAATTCGAAGTCTGAGCCCGATCGCAATTTCAATATCGCCTCAAGAGTTTTCACCCGGCAATATCAGTAAAATCGGTTGGCTCGGGTCTTACCATTCTCGACGTTTCAGGAACGTGACCTCAGTGCAAATAAAATTTCTTGACGTAAATTAATGTTTCCTTTTTTTATGATCTCACTGTGGAGATTGCAGTGTGAACTATTCTGTTGAAGTCTCGTTTAATAGACTTGTTGAATAAGGGAACATGTAGTAGTTTCTGAAAATATAAGCCTTGTGTGACGTTTCGATTTCACTGGTTTTATTTTATTTGTATCCGATAGCATGCTCCATCAAAAAACTTTTTTACTGCTCTCTTATACTCCGTTTGAATACAATGTTCACACAGAGCTTTTATTGTAGGCCGAACGACAGCCCCATTGTGCATACACCGAGAGCCTTCGATGCATGAAAAGATTCGTTAAAATTAAAGTGATTAAGGCTCGACACATTTCAGAGTCTTAAATCTCTTTGAAAACTATTGTTACCTCTGCCTGACGAGAACATATCCGATGTACCGCAGAGATGCGCGGTTCTATTCTTTAGACATACGTAGATAGCGATTGTGCTTTCAGTAAGTCTGTACGAATACCAGTCTCCAATTTAATTTCACCGTCGCGTTCAAAAGAATCGATGGAAACATCCAGTCGGGAAGCTCGAAAACACGTTACATAAATTTGTGAAAATGAAGTCCAACAACGGGAAAATAAAATATTTACGATATCAGTTTAAAAAATGTATCGCGAATCTTTTATCATTTAAATATTGTTACATGAATTCAGCTATTGACAATTCATATAGTTTTATATGTTATACACGGTTTTCAAATTTTCCGCACATTCAGTTATCTTATAAATGCATAAAATCCGCAGTCTGGTCATTACGTTTCATTGTAGAGTTGAAAATTCTATTCCATAGCAATCTACACACATGAGGGAAGACGCATTCGCGGAGATCTTTTATCTGAACGTGTAAAATGTAGCTAAAATAAATAATGGATAGCCGGCTAGCTGCAGAGAATTGGTTGCTGTAACGGACAGACCGAGGCATTTTCATTTGCATAACCACGACCTTCCCCCGTGTTCACCTTTGTACAATCCGACCACAGTTACCGAGTGCAGTATGTCTAGTTTGAATAATGCATTGGGAAAAAGTTCGCTATAGGAAACTTCTTTTTTTATCTGCGTTGTATGTGTTAGTTTTTGGACATTTTATTACGAAAAGATCTTCCGTCCATTTACCTGATTATTCATGGTATCTGAACAAGCTGGGGAACGTTGCGTAAAGGGGATTCGGCTTTTAAGTTCGCCTTCTGAGGCGTGTTTTAATATGCAGAATGTAGGATCGCTTTTACGACTCCTATTTTTATAGAGACGCGCATATGTGTTTTCCGTTAACTGTGCACACACAGGAAAAATTCACGTGCGCTAACAAAGCCAGAGTACGATATAATAATAATAAAGATAAGTCTCTGTGCTGTTAGCAAGGATTTGCATATGTAGATTGTAGTCTCTTCTAATTGTGTGCATACGGTATCAGCATAATTGCTCAAAGGACAAATACTTTATGCTTCATGTGACTGTAAAACTATTTCAAATGATACTCCACTAAAATTAATTAATTCTGTTCTGTCAGTTAGTTTCTGATTAACAAAGGCGTGTCTAAAAGTTAGGAAATGTAGTTGTTTCTACTTACCTTGCCGCCAGTCTGAATTCGTTATTGTAGCATCTTCATAAACGATGAACACCAATGCGGGACTTTATCAACATTTTTCTATTTCGAGTGTATGCTTCGAATTTCACTACGAGACGAGACAGTCTGTCGGTCATAAATTTTCGCGAAAACGTGAACGACGCGACACTCCGTTCGCGTGATTATGCTCACTATCGTGATCACAGATATTACGTACGGACCATAGAAAAACGTAGAAACAGGCAACTATTTCGGGTTCGTGGCAAAAGGATTATGGTTGGTGTGGCCGTTCACTCGATGGGGCTACGTTTTATTTTTATTTCCAGCACGTGGTGTACGTATATACGCGAATTACTCTGGCCGAGAAGCCGCGACGACGAGGCGAGACGAATATAGTATAATCAGACGTCTTTTGATTCGCGTTTGTCATTTCAACGAATTTTCATCGAGCCTTTCTAGTCCAGAATCAATCCGGTCGTGTCGAGTCTAATGAGCTCTCAGTGGAAACTTCGTTTCATCATTCTTAATCAGTGTAATCATTCTTTATCTCGTTACCTCTTTTAGTAGGCGTTTTTGGAATTTCATAGAGATCGATTCGTCCTTACGTGTTACAGGATAATTTTATAACTGGGACGACCGGTCAGGTTGAATTTTTGACCAATTCTCGAATATTTTGCTCGCGTTCCTATTTCCTTGGACCATTTCGAAACGTCTTTATTGTTTGATTTTAATGATCCCGCGTCGCTCTCTTTCGTAGTTTGTTAAATGATTTTAATTACGTTCCAGAGTGCAGTTTTCAAAGACCCGAGCCGTATCCTTCTTCAAAGGCTTGCTCAGATGTCATGCCGTGTTTAGTCACGTTCGAAATGCTAGGTGTTAATCCGATAATTCACTCGGACTTTTTGTCTCGATGTTTTCCTATGATACCTTACTCGTAATTTCGTTTCCAATTTTAACTGTAATTTTAGAAATGTCTAGCAAGTTTTAATTTTATTTAATTGGAATTCTGTTGCTGACCAAATTTTCTTGTAATTAGTTAATCACTCTCTTGTTGCGGAAATTGCAATTGGTAAAGTTTCGTAATAGATTTCGTAAGCCGATTTAATTCTGTTCGAAGGCTTATTGCATATTAAATTGCGCGAGAATTTCGTTATATTATAACGCAATCACGAAAGTCAGAGTCATTTACTAGTAACGATCGATCGCTCCAATTTTGCATGTCCATTTCGAGTTTCCAGATTCTATTTATTTGCATCGACTAAATCTGCATTATTTTTCGCTTCCCACTGCATGTACGAACTATGCGTTAACATATTCATTATACGAGCTCCGTCGCGCATTAACATATTGAATTTTTGTTTACTTGTTTTCGGAATTTTAATCCGAGCGAAAGGGCATTAATATTTAATAGCAATTTGCATTTCTTGTTTATAAGAACGTGATAGCGTTGGAATCTTATTACTGTCAAGTTCGAAGAACAATACTATAACTTTATAAAAGTATTGAGAAATACCTATTTTTATTCAATATCCTGTTGTTTTCTTTCATCGACGAGATTCGTACGATCTTGGAGTTTCTTCAAGTGTTCGATTTCCCGTAGAATCAAGAAAAAATACCAACTTCACTGTTTCGTTAATTGCAGTAATTCCAGTCAGTCCTTGCCTTCTCTCGTTACATTTTTCATTCATGTTCTCCAATTATCTTCCTGTTGTTTCTCAAGAGAATACCGATCGGCCTTCGAATAATCATTAAACGAACCCGTTGTTTAATCCGTCGCTTTTATTCCGCCGAACCGAATCCAATTGGATTAAGTTTTATCGCCTGGTCGACTTCTGTCTCTCCTCACCCGATCCTTCGTTTCATCGCGGAAAGGAACCACTAAATCCGTACTGGATCATCGTCGGATCGTAACTCTTCTCCTTCTCCATCACCGATTCCCACCCTTCTTCGAACCACCTTACGGGACACGCGTCGCTCACAACTCCCGAACTTCGTCGTAGAAGCCACGAGTACGAAACGCGCGATCACAACTCTGCGTAACCGAGCGGAAGGGTATAATTAGGTTAATCTTCCTGGCGGGATTTTCGGTATCTCGGTGTCACATCGTTGCTGAACGCGTGGGTACGGGACAGGGAACGGGTCGCAAAACACCGCTGGGGGAAGAATTGGGAAAAACCAAGCCGTGTTCACTGAGTGATCAAATAAATGCGTTGCTGATCGTTCGATTTTCTCTCATCGCTTCGACGTTCACTTCTCAGTCTCGTCTTCGTTCATCTCAATCGGCCGATGACAGTTCACCGATAAAGAAAACCGGTCGAAGACGCTACTAAATCACCGTCAGGATCAGGACTCGGGGGCACGATCAACGATGCCGCTTGAGGGAGTGTCTCTACTCCTCCAGCATCACCTGTTGGTATCGTATCCCGGTCATGGCCTATACAGGGTGGCAAGGGGAAAATGTGCTCGGCCTAGACGCCGGCAACACGCTTGCGCGGACGCAGATCGATGTATTATATCGCACGCTCTCTTATACGGATCCTCTTCTCTCGGTCCCTCTTTGTCTAAAATCCTCGACGCGAATGAGACGTCGTCTATCGTCGATCTGACGAGTGCCAGTGTGTCTATCGAATGCAGTTTTGCGTCCCTTTCTTTGCTTCGTTTTCGGGAATCCTCTATGAAATATTTTACCTCTCATCTTTTGTTTCGAACGATTCGTTAATAGCTGGAATACAGTCTCAGCTGTTTACTTTGTTTCTTTGTGTTCTTTACTCTCTTTGTGTTCTGTTCTTCCTTTATATTTGTCCCATCGAATTAACTCGGTTCTTATTTCTCTCGTACAGTTCTCATTGCTAATTCGACGTCGATGTTCTATATTTGTATACGAATTCTATTTATCGAATGTTGACTATTAATTAATTATCGTATATTCTTGTTGGCGTATCGAAAGTTTTGTAGCAAAAACAATAAGTAGATGTTTTATTCATCGATTTTCCTATATCGATTCTAATACTTTTCTTTGGTCCGCTCATTGGCGACGGATGACTTCCTTCGACAAGAAATTGTTGATCAGTTCATTGGCTCGTGAAAGCTCTCTTTTTACTTTTTGTTCCCTTAGCAAGAAAATTGTACTATGGTCACGCTGGAAAAATGTATTTAATGGAATCGTTAACGGGCAATGAGAATTAAACGTTATCTGCAAGGGTAAAACTGCTGTCGTCTTTGTACGTCTGCAGGGTAAGAAATGATGAAATTTGTTACGGCCTATGTAAATTAGTTTTGTAAATAATGTTTATTAGATAATGCGTGCTTACGAGTATTAGGTAACATAACGTACTCTACAGTCCTTCATAGAAGGTGTACAAATCATTGTTCCAGCAATGTTCTCTATAGATTAACATAGATAAAATCATCGTCGTTGTCATCGCTATCGCCTTTGTCCTCGTTCAATTTATTAAATCTACGTAGTATCCCACGTGAATTTTTGTCATGCGAGCCACTCAAAATCGAATATGTTTGTCGAATCTTGAGACCATTTTGAAACCTCCTTTTGTCGAATCCTTCCCTCTAAAAGCAGCTGTCATTTAAGGATGTATTGGCTATACAGTCAATCCCAAAAGTTTATGTACATTAGAAAAACGCATTTCCTATAATTAAAAAGAAATCAGACGTCGGAAGAACAATGCTAATAATAAATAGCTACGTGCTAAAAAGTATAGAAGGAAATATTCAATTAATTGTTGACGCTGGCGAAAAGNGCATTGTTCTTCAGACGTCTGATTTCTTTTTAAAAAATGCGTTTCTAAAGTGCATAAACTTTTGGGATTGACTGTATAGTCAATACATCCTTAATATCGATCCACCGCGAGAACATCGGCAAGGGATGAGAGATGTTTGAAGTTAATAAAACCGGAGCTTGCGTGGAATAAAAATATTTTCGCAGTTAGATGGACGCCTATTTGTTTACCGAGTTCAAAGCTTCGTTTCGAGCTTTGGCGTCGTCTATCTTCAAAGCGCGGGACTTTCGACGGCCGAGTCACGTTCTAAGAAAGGAACCGTCAAGCGTCGTGTATTGATGAATCACTCTTGTTGAATTGAAACGTGTGCTTTTCATCAAGATGAAGCCGATCAAACAAATATACGGGGATCGAGGGACGTGGTGGCCTCCGATTTCTAATAAACATCGTTCGATTTTAGTGTTCACGAGTTCGCGACGATCGATTCAACGTTTCCCGCGAGTCATTCGACATCAAACAAACCGAAGTCCCTAAAATTGTAACAGTTTTATACACGACCTAGGGTCCACCGTTCAATAAAAATTACCGGCAAACGACGAGCCGTTGCTGGGCATCTCTAAGATCGTTTGAATCTCAAAAAGTGGGCCTAGCAGTTCTTTTTTGAAAAAAAAAAAAAACAACTTTTCCGTTACACCCTCTCAATCGTTTTTTCCCTGTGCATTCGCATTCATCCTTCGTGTTATTTATATAATATATAATAATATGTCATTTTTAAGTAGGTTATAGCATTAAAGTCTTGTGTGTCTGTTTCACGTTTGCGACTACATCAATCTGAATCCTGAATGGAGAACAGGTAATTTATTTACGTATAAGACTCTGCGTATTCTCATCATTGCATAGGATCTTAGTGTTCAGAGTATGTGTGTAAAGTTTTTAATGACGATCGTGTAAATTGTGTCTATACATGCTTGTAAACGTAATATGTTTCTTAGGTAGTAGGTATCAATAGTGTCTCTCGCTTATAGCGTTAATAATTAATTTATTAAAACTTTCTATACCATCTTAATTCTCATAGACTCTTTAATTGCCTATACATTCCATTTTATCTCTCTCTCTCTCTCTCTCTCGTTCGCTCGCTTATCCTCTCACACTCCCTTGTTATCATGCGTATTCTTTACAATCTCACACTCTCTTTTTTTTCGTAAATAAGCTGCCTTTTTACCTCGTAAATTCTCGTTCATTAGTTTAAATTCATCTAAAAAGGTTTCCGCGTGCAGTGCTTACGAACAGCTCGAGAAAATTCGTCTCCATCCAATTGTTTAAAATTAACTATAGAATACATAGAAATAGATTAATTAAATTGAAGGATATTGATAAAAGCAAGATGTTTTATTAATAGGTGAAACAGATCTAAAATATTGACACTAATAATTTATTATAAATAAAACAGAAGAAATATTTTTAGGATTGTAATAAAAGTAAAAAAAAAAAACAACTTTTCCGTTACACCCTCTCAATCGTTTTTTCCCTGTGCATTCGCATTCATCCTTCGTGTTATTTATATAATATATAATAATATGTCATTTTTAAGTAGGTTATAGCATTAAAGTCTTGTGTGTCTGTTTCACGTTTGCGACTACATCAATCTGAATCCTGAATGGAGAACAGGTAATTTATTTACGTATAAGACTCTGCGTATTCTCATCATTGCATAGGATCTTAGTGTTCAGAGTATGTGTGTAAAGTTTTTAATGACGATCGTGTAAATTGTGTCTATACATGCTTGTAAACGTAATATGTTTCTTAGGTAGTAGGTATCAATAGTGTCTCTCGCTTATAGCGTTAATAATTAATTTATTAAAACTTTCTATACCATCTTAATTCTCATAGACTCTTTAATTGCCTATACATTCCATTTTATCTCTCTCTCTCTCTCTCTCTCGTTCGCTCGCTTATCCTCTCACACTCCCTTGTTATCATGCGTATTCTTTACAATCTCACACTCTCTTTTTTTTCGTAAATAAGCTGCCTTTTTACCTCGTAAATTCTCGTTCATTAGTTTAAATTCATCTAAAAAGGTTTCCGCGTGCAGTGCTTACGAACAGCTCGAGAAAATTCGTCTCCATCCAATTGTTTAAAATTAACTATAGAATACATAGAAATAGATTAATTAAATTGAAGGATATTGATAAAAGCAAGATGTTTTATTAATAGGTGAAACAGATCTAAAATATTGACACTAATAATTTATTATAAATAAAACAGAAGAAATATTTTTAGGATTGTAATAAAAGATTGTTAACTATTGAATTTTACACTCTTCGTCTCGAGCGTTCGACATTATGATAATTAGAAGAAACAAATGGTCGAAGTGTCGCTAATTGTATTTCCCCAATTTTGGGATATTTCAAAAATTAAAGTACTAAATGTTGGGAGTATTCATTTTATCATCTAAATTCTAAATATATCTAAGCATATACTCTGAACGATTTAAATGCAATTTATCAATTTTTCAAACAATTTGAAAAAAAAATTAATTGAATTGGGAAATGAGATATATTATTTTTGTTTGTGAGAAATACGAAATCCAACAGCTTCGGTCATTTATTCCTTCGATATATTGGCTACGAAATTTTTCGTTTTTTCACGGATAGTCAGAAGTGATATATAGTAAAGGAATAAAGTGAAAAATTGTAGCCACGATCAGACAACAACGATTCCCGCTTTTTATCTCGGGTTTCAATTTCGTAAAACTGTCACACTCCCACGATCCCCTCCTATATACATGTGGATTACACGTCGATATATCCTATTTACATGCGCGTGTCTCAATCTTGCCAAACTTGCCCTTTTGTGCGTTTGGACATGTCGGTTGTAATTGTATATAATATAGTAAGTTTATAATATTATTAATCCAAGTTTCTCTAGGCAGTTGCGTGTTGTTTATGTTATGTACGTTAAGATTTATCTCTAAGGTTTCCGTACTCTCCTCCTCGTGAACAGTCATACGTACAACCGCTCGTATTTTATCGCTCAAACACTTTTACTTTCGCCCTTTACAAAAACAAAATTTGGCCTCTGTTTTTCTTGCTAGATCGATTCGGATAAAGAAGGTTCATCTATGCATGCGTGCTCGATCGTTTCGCTACACGATTCATAAAAAATGAACACGTTCAAATGATTTCGCTTCCAGAGCCTCGAGCCTCTCAAGAACATGAACGACGACGAAACAGACATGTTCGTTTAAAATAGAGAGTTTCACATAAAAATGACAGAATTTAAATTATTCCTGTTAAATTCATTTTCTTGACGATGCTCGAAAGTCTTTTGACATTTGGTAATTCTGCACCCGATCAATCGTATTCATTGCTCCACTCGCACTCGAAATTCATGCATTCTGAAAATGATTATCTAGAGTTTCCTCCTCACGAGTCGATTCGAAATATCTCCTTCAGTTTTCGGCATCTCATAACATCTGATGCGGCTTCGAGACCCATCCCCGGTACGCTATTTTTTTCCCGAGGGAGAAACGATTTTCCTTTCCCCTTTTTTCCCGTTACTTCTTTATATGTATAAAGAATACACCGTTGTGGCTATACGAAACTAGAAACGGTATCATTTTGTCTACACGTGAGTAATTCTATGAGCCGTGTGGTTTTAACGCTATCGTTAAACACAAGAGTGAGTCTTGTTTCCGTTTCCGTGTATGTATCAATGGTACTGAATTGAGCAATATACTGCTATTGAATCGATCGTCTGAGAAATCCCGTCCGTTGTGTGCAAAAGTTAAAACAACTGAAAACTGTGTTTCCTCCAGTAAATGAAACTCAAGAACGCAAGCGTCTGTTGTCTGAACCGAATCAAGCATGAACCCCTTTTTGTTAACGTTCAGACGTGAATTATTTCTGTAGAGATCGATCCAATCGATATTTTAACGTGCTAGACTTACTCTTTACGAATTAGAAATCGTGAAATATCGTTCTATTGGTCTTTCACACTACTTAATCGTTCACTACGTGGCGGTTATCAGTGTTATTGCTGCTAAAAATTCATTCAACAGGATCCTGCGCTGTCTCGCTAATGTTACTCTCATTTACCGTAGACAATAAATTCTGTCGATCTGCGAAATTGTTAATTCTTGCCAACGTCGAAGGAAAACGCAAGCAATACATATTTTCTTTCGTGTTGTTTACCTCGAGGAAAAAAGCTTCCGCTAACGATCGTGTTCGAGACCTTCCGCACTGTGAAAAATTATTAACAGTCGTCCGCTGTTTGAACCGGAACCTGGCGACGATGTCCGTCGATCATCGCGGGGTACCGATTTAACGTCCGGATTCTTGTTAATCCTTTCCAAGTGATAATCTTCTACCGAAAGTTCGCTGAATGGTGTTTCGCGAGTCGTCGAAGGCGCCTTGGTTTCTTTTTTTTTTCTTTGTTTTAATATAATATATGTATATAATATATATATGTATAGTCGTTAACAGCGTTAATTACAGGTACCTAAAAATTTCTCGCACGCGTTCCCCACGCCGGAAAAAAGTAAGAAAAGTCGAAATGTTCGTACAAGCTAGGACAGTCTACGCTAGATCTCGGAATCGTTCGCAGTTTTCGTTTGTTCACGTTTTACCGTAAATTCTACGTCCGAGCGTCCCTCGCCGCTATCTACTCATTGATACTTATCCTCGTGGTATTACAAAGTCGAAATGGAAAAACGTCCCTTACGAAAAAACAAAGACGCTTGCAAGAACTATATCCTCCTCCTCGCCGGGTTTAAACGCTAGAGAAATCGGTGTCGGTGTTTGACGCGACGCGAGCACGATATCTCGTAATATGTACAGTGTTCGCAATATAGTAATTGATCCGATATTATTCGCCAATTTTACAACGCGGTTTCCCGTTCTCTCCGCTCTCCTCTCGTTCGCATTTGGCACACGACTCATCGCGTCTGTTCACGTGCACACGCATTCGATTAGGATCATTTAGGACAACGTCCGAGAGCGATTGGCAAACCGGATGAAATTTCTCAGTACTTGCTCATCGCCTAATTTAAGTTACGTTCCAAAACGGTTCCCTTTTCTAGATATGTAGAAGTATTCCCTACGTGTTCACGTCCTCGAGTTCCTCGGCCTCATTTTTCTCTTTTTTTTTTTTTTTCACTTTTAATGATTTATCGACTAAAAAGTTTATTGCTACGTCTCGACTACTACATCGAAAAGGGATTTTGGCAATTACAAGTTTCCCGTGTCGTAAAGATCCAGTATAAAGTGGCTTGGCAGTGTTCAACGTTGGTGAGCGCAATAAATAGACCTGCCAATTTTATCCGGATTTTCACTGATTTCTTGCGTCATAAATTTGATAACAATCAAATATCCATTCTTAAACACGCAACGAATTATTTACCAATTGAATGAAAATGAGTCTTAACTTAGACATTTCAGTTTGGATGCTTTTTTAAAATAGTTCCTACAGTAAATGTCATTTAATTTTTTCTACTCATCACTTTTTAAGTAATTGCAGGTTGATTAACAGTTAGAGATTCGAATGTTATCAAATATATCCGGAAATACGCAGTCCTAATAAGGTGTTTCGCTTAGAAATGAACAAGCCGCGGCGTGAAATAATTGCGTCATGCATGCGTATACAATAGAAGCCTCGTTATAATAAACGCTATAAGAACAGTATCAAGGATGTCGGAATCAGTCGAAGGTTGGAAACAGTCGATAGGTGACGAAAGTCTTTATTCTTAATGGTCTTGGCGGTAAGCTCTACGCGCGTATACGATAAAATCCTGTCGTTTGCAAATGTAGAAACTCTAAACAGCTCGAAACAATCGAACGCAAGCGAATACTGGCTTGTGCATGTATGGTATCGGTTTCGAAAATCTAAAAACAAAATTAATAAAAAAATTTCATTTCTCAATAGTTTCCTAGTTTTTTTCTCTTTTTTTTTGTTCTTTTCCTTTAGTTTAATTCCTTGGTCTTAAGCGCACTTGTTAACTCGACACTGTCTCGGAGCAAGCATTCAAATGATCGCAAGACACAATCTTAATACCTTTTACGTAATATAAAAGTAGGAATAACGAGATATTATCTGCTAGAAATCTAATCGTAGAGGAATCCCCTAATTGAGAAATTCATCTATCTTATAATAATTATCTTCCGTTAATTTGTTCCACTATTTCGAGAATAACTCATGCAGTTAAAAATGAGAAAATAGAACTCGTTCGAGTGTTAGTATTGTAATTAATAAATCGCTAACTCTGATTAACATTTGAACGCGTGCTACCTAGCATCGATCGCTTTCGATCTTACATAATTAATCCAAGGTAGAAGTATCGAAAAAATGTTGTTCTCCGCCAGGATTGTATCGGGATAACGTTCTCTTTTACGGATATTCTCTCGCCCGAAATAAACTCTCTTCAGCAAGCATTCTTGGCCGCCTCGATTGTCCGCATCATTATAAGTTATTCATTCAGGAACGCTTTTTCTTACGTTTACGAATATTCATCTATGGATCTTCAAAACGAGTTCAGATTTCTATGTAATATACAAGCGAATATAAATGTCAATTTATAATTATAATAAAACGTTCGTGTTCCCGTACATTTCGAGTTTCGCGAAAGATTCACAACTAAATCTCGTTGGCAGAAATATGTCGTAGGAGCAATCAATAGAATGGAAATAACGAAAGGAGTGTTGAACGATTCTACCGTTGCTAGAAAATATGGACGGACGTATCCAGCTGTTGAAATAGCAGCAAATTAATTGGCGTAGACTTGTATTATACGTGTGTCTGTTCTGAATGGCAGCGGGTAGCAAAGGTGTTACCGTGAGAATCAGCAAACGCAAGAAAGCGCGATCGCAAAATTCATGAGGTTTCGCGGAGGAGACGAAAGAGTGGCGAAGGAAATTGAACTTGTCCTGAAGATGATCGTTCGGCACATACGGCCTCCGGCCTTATCAGTTTTCGCAGATGTGTGGATCGTACGTTCTCGCTCAATTTTTCATCTTCTCATAAGGCGTGATCGTGCTTTACCCAGGAGAACTCGAAAAGATGTTGTCAGGGGTAAACGATCTCTCAGCTGAATCCAGTCCGCACGTTTACAGGGCCCTATAGTTCCATGAGACGTGTCGAATCTTCGGCGATCGTAGAAAATCGAGGAATCCTGCTGTGAATGTCCTCAGAGAAGATCAAGACGCTCCGTAGACGCAGGCAGAATTGTCGGGCGGACTGATCTTTTCCACCGGCAAAACTGCTGCTCTGTGCCATTCGTCGCGCACCTGAAATTCGTCCAATCTCCCTTTACCGACGGAATCAAACGTGGATAGTGGAACATACATTTTTTAGATACGCGTCGTTTTTTAAAAATCTGAATTTCACGCGCACTCAGATACATTTACATGATTGAAATTAAACGAAAACCGTTGCGAGCAATTAATTAACCGAAGCCGTATATAACTCACCTGCTCAACTTTCGCGAACACCCTCAGCAGATTCAGGCCAGCTAATTTCTTAATGTCCTCCTCGGTCCACGTCGGATCCTCGAGCAGAGTAGCTAACAGTTGTGGATACCTCGAAACATCCTCCAGCCCGGTGGGAGTGCTGAAAAGTACATCGGTAATAGCGGTATTGATTCGTAATGATCCCCGGCATTCAGAGAACGGTAGCGGAACAATGAAATGTAATTTGTTGTATGCCGTCCGGTATCAATGGAAGCAATTTTACGATTTACGCGTTCGCCTAAGTGTGTCATTGTGCGTGTCCCGTGAATCGCTGGCGAATTCCGCTCAAACATGAACGCAAACTGTAATTGCTTCATTGAGCCAGGCATCAATGATAATTATTCTCTGAATGCGCGTCGGTGTCGGGAGTGTGATACTCGAAAGATAATTACAAATTTATCCCGTCGAAGCCAGCTCCTATTCCGACGTGATCGATCCCCGCCACCTTCCGAATGTGATTGATGTGCGCTGAAACAGCATGCAGTCTCTTAATAAACTCTCGCCCGCGTCCGTGCCGCGCTCGTCCGAAATGTTGATTTTATTATTTTGATCACGCGCGCGCTCGCCACCCCTCATTACCATTTCATTCTGAATAAAATGCGTTCCCGTGTTCGATTGTTAATTAGTCCCAGCTCGCTTGTTAATCAATTTCCCGGTTAATTGACGCGGGCACGATCGAACAAGAAACGAATCATTTGCGTTTAAATACGAATGCGTTCTGTCGAATAAGTATGTAGAGATCGTTACGATATTAAATTGCATTCGTCAATGAAAGGAGCGTCGAATGTAAACGAGACGGAAGTATTATAGGATGAACCATAGCAGTGTGAATATTTGAAATTCTCTCTTATTTTTACCTTGGAAAATAAACTTCTGCTTGATAATGAGGACTCCTTTATCATAAATACACAGAGTGTCTCTTTTAATAAAATTAGTGAATAATTAATTGTTTCAAATGATAGTTCTTATTGACTTAAGCTGTATAATTAAAAGTTCTGTTGAAAATATAATATCTCCAGCTCGAGGTGTGGCGAAATTTGGTCGAGAATTTTCAAAGTTATTTTACATTTTGCGAATAAATTCACGCGCTCGCTGTTGAATTTTAATCAGTGCCATTTATAAATATTCATCTCGAGAAACGCCGAACGTTGTATAAATGATTCGTCAAAATAATGAAATTGGAAATATTGTACGTGCATTGTCGAACCGGGTGCTTACGTTTCACAGTTACATTTTATAAAGTAAATGGACGTTTAAATAGAGATCTGGGTTCTCTACTGAATAAACGATGCGTGGTTTCCTCTTCTACTGTTAACAGTAACGTAATAACGCATCGACGATGGTGTTTTACGTACCAATAACGTCTTTTATGGTGGCTGTACTGTTGCACGTTATGAAGTATGTATAAAACGGAACCATTGCCACGCCGCCGTTTTTAGCCTACGGACAAATAATAGTATTAATTTTTAAACATCATTTTTTATTGAACATTAAGAATTAGTCGAGTTCTCCAAATTTTTTAAAATAATTTATTGGTATTATGTGGACAACAGCTTTCGATAATTTGAATACCAAATTCATTAACAAAATATATATATATATTGCACATTCTCGCCCAGAATACTTCACGATATGTTCCTGTTTTTTAAATAATTTAAAGAAATTTGTATAATGAAATTGAATTTAAAATAATTTGGAATGGAACATGGAATTTTACGCATTCCAGTCTTGTTCTTTATATGTCTCACAAACAGAACATTAATCTTGTTGAATAGTACAAAATATGATACAGTTTTTGTAAGCGGCTTCTTGTTAAATGTACATACATGTATATGCGACTGTGAGACGTGCTTTGAAATTCGATGAGCCGGACGGGTCGGTTGCTAAAATCACTGGCCGAGTTTCGTGGTTTCCTTTATTGATTTCGTTCAGAGTCGTTTTTCGAAAGACAAGCGGAAACTACTCCTATGCCATCAGAATCATCTGTTTCCACTTGTTTTTACGTTTATGTCCTTATGGCGTTGGTAAATCGAATATCTGCAGTTCCCTCGCGTTTGCAGTTTCCTTTCATTTGATATTGAAGCAGCAAGGAAATCGACAGTTATTTCGTGCCAGGTTTATGTGTTCGCTTGTTTCGCAGACGCTTTATTTGCTATTTAATGATTCAATTTTAGAAAAGTATTCTCGTACAGCTAGGTACGTATGAGAATAATAATTCAAGAATTGTCTTTCGTATTTCCTTTCACAGTGGAAATAATTTTCTATCATAGTTTAACACAATTTAATAGATGACTAAAGAACTTAACTTAAGAATATTTTGAGAGTGAGGGATATAATCTTGTTACATAGTACTTCATATATGTACATAGCACGAAAATTCATTAAAATCGTGGAAAAATGATGAAATTCAAAGATTTACTGCTCGAATCAAGATCATGATGGGAACTTCTCCATACGCTCTTCTAGCCAGCCAGATCTTAAAGCGTTCGCCAATAAAATTCGAAGAATTCGTAAAGTTACTGCCGGGGAATGCAATTTAACTCCCGCGGTGCGCGGTACGTTCTGCGTTGAAATTTTAATATCGCGAACTGCTATAAATCATATTTCTCGCGCGCTAGGATTTCTGAACAACTGGGTTCGGAAACCCATGAAACATTCAATGTTCACCGTGTCTGGACAGCGCCCGAAATCTCTGCGTGAATTGTTATTATTCATTCAAGACTTCACAGTAATCCAATAAATATGGAATATATTTTATATCATCTTATCGGATTTCACTTCTTTTTGCCTGTGTTTTAGTCAGACACGGTTTCAGTTAAATATTCTTAAAAATTAATTTTAATCAACTCGTCTGCTTGTTCATTTAAATTATAATCTGTTCAAACAATGGCATCATAGATGCTTTTCGGTGATCCGTTATTTCTGCTATTCCCAGTAGAAATGTAGAAAAAAGCCCAGGAACACGTAGGGTGATCTTTATCGGTTTAGATTAGCTCTAGTGTAGTAAATACTTGGAGCTATCCAGTTTCATTCGGTTAGAACTTTACCCTCCTTTCTTATCGAGAATTACTGAATGTGCCAATCGAGATGAGACAATGGCCCACCGTCTACTCGATACCTGACCTGACTTAAACTATGAGGTAGCCGCCGTTAATTGGGGCAGTGGTGTGGCACAGCTAATAACATGTTACCAGACAGGCCATCGTTCGCCTTCTGATTGGTGTAACTCATCCCCTTGTTGCTTCGTCATGATCGAGCTGGTATTGATTGTACCGGCGAAGCAAGTAAAGGACACTTTCCGTTTCGTGAAATCGCAATCTTTAAATATTAATGAAATAGCTCTCTGTTTAATTATATTCAATGCGCGCTATAAAAATTCGCGTATGACAGATCTCAATACAGAGAGATCAATATTATCACTCGTGGTCACGAACGCATAGGCGTCGATAGGAGTCGGAGGCGGCTTAGGCATTGTTTGCCTCGAATTTAATCCCATAGATTAACTTCGAGCATCGATTGAAGTTAATTGTTATTCTGGTGTCAGTGATTGGCAGGCGCTAGGCAACAATAGGATTAAATTTTAATCGCGCTACGCACACCAGACTTAGCTTCGGCAGGCCCCCGTTGTTGATTTCAAAATCCAATAGGTGCGGACGGGCAAATTACGATGTGTCCAGCGCGAAAGTAATCCTCCAGCCCATTCCGTCCGACTTACATTTCGTGATTTATTCCTTGGACTTTTCAACTTGTTACACGGGGCCCCCGGCCGCGTCGGAGAGGAAAGTTTAACGCTCGGAGGGTCGTAAATATTTAGATAATTGTTTTCCCAAGTGTTTATAGTGCACGGGAACGTTTTAAAAGCAGATTGTTCATTCTCATTGGCCGTGCGAGTTGCCTGTCACATAAATCATGCAGCTTCGCCTATTGTAATCCCAATTTAATCCTACAGAATCCTCTGCAGAACTATTTTTTGTTAGCCTCATTGACCCGGCCCGTATATTATTTTGCCCGAGTATCCTCGCCCGATTTTTCCGCGAACGCGAATCCCGCACCGCGGGTTCAACACGTATCTACCCTTTTTTTCCACTGAATATATCCTCTTACAGTCGCTTCGAACTCGTTCCGAATTTTTCCTCGTTTTTCACGCGGCCCCCTTTCTTTCTCGTTTTGCACAAACCTTAACACAGTCAACGGTCGTACCCGTTTCTTCGCCGTTCGGTCGATGTTCCGACGGCACGACCGGTGTTGAATTTTAGTTAAATGCGGAGGAAAGGAGAACAGAGGAGCCACGCGCGTGTAACGTGTTTTCATCAAATTCTGCAACGAGGCTAGTCTGGGTCAACCCTGAACTTTTTCAAACGACCGACCTGGTTCCAGCCGCCCTGTTTGCTGACCTGAAACCAAATAATCTTTTCGTTGGCCGACGTTCACGGGCCTCCGGTTGCAAAAAGACGGGACAATCAAACACCTCTCTACACCTGTTTCTGTGAAGTCTTTCGAAATTGTAGATCAATGGAGCGTACGATATTATGCATGTAGGAACGTCGTTTGATTAATCAGAGAATCAGCGCAGCAAGTTTATTTGAAATATCACTCTGTACATAAAATAGTTGGACTATGCATCGGGCTGATCGAATTTACCTGATCTGATTGTGAGTGCATTTTTTTGTACAACTCGTAACTTATGATTGAACAAGATGGAATGTTCGATGGACGTACAACGGCATCCGAAATGGGATTAAAGTCGGTACCGTTCTAACAATTTTCAATGCGGTAGTCGGGGAATGGCAACTAAAACATTAAAATTTATCGAGCGACCCAAAAAGCTGTACTGTCGGTAGGTAGTGGGTTAAGCATGGATTACATCATAAATGCATACTAACAATTTTATCTGCAGCTGTGTTTACGTTCAACGTGAATTATTTTCTGGCCGTTTTTCTCTTTTTCTTCGGTGGCAATTAATCGCCGCTGAATTCCAAATATTGATAAATGTAAGGATTGAAAAACATGATAGAAAATTGATGGGTGATTACTCCGTAAACGCCCTTAGGAGGAAAAACTTGAACAAGAGCAATAAATTCCGTACCGTAATATGAAAGTATGTGACGTCTCTAAAATAAGCGGTCAAGCTTTAATAAAACGCGGAATATTTCTTTTTTAATCCGCGTTCGCTTTTTCCCTCGAACAGAATTTCGTTATTACGTTTAACGTATAAAAATGGCAGTCGTAACGTGAAATGATATTTTTCTGAATTATACACGGGCCGTGTTCCGAGCGTAATGTATGCCCGGTAATCAAGAGCAAGAAAAAACATCGGCGACTGTATTTCCCGCCATTATACGACTTTGTTCTGAACAAATTCATTCGTCTCGGCAAAATATCCACGCGAACCACTATGACGAGACGTACGTACATACAAAAATTCGTGATCGTAAAACTAGAATTTTTACGCTCGCTGCCGTACACTTCGTTCTCTATTGTATGCGCAGGAAGTTAACGTGGACCGGTGTAAATACAAAGCGTGCAGCGTTAATCGTGCGAGTCATATCTCGCGACGGAACAAAACTGAACGGTGAAAAGATTCTTTTTCTTCTCTCGTAGATATTTTTAAATTTTCTGCTTCCGGTCGAACCCTGCGACGTACGTAGGCAACACGCCGGGGCTCGTGTTCATTGCATCAACTCCGTGCCCTCGTCGAGTGCACTCTAGGCAGATGCACTCTCCTGCAGTACACCTTGTCGTGGTCCACGGTTGAACCTGCGAACCGTGCGCGTCGATTTCATCTCTCGCTTTAATTCTTACGTTCTGCGTCCATTTGTCTTCTCAGGGATTGCGACATATCTTAGTATTTCCATTCTCCATTTCTTTATTCACTCGGCGTTCGTATTCTTGGCTCGATGCATATGCAGCTTTTTTTTTGCCTCGCTCCCGTTGTGTCCTTTCTTTTAAAACCCTCCCGGGTCGTCCTTTCATGCTTAGTTCATTTGCTAATTGAGATACCCGTGTTTCTTTTTTCGTTTGCCAGCGGAAATGGCCGGCGTGTTTATTCAGTTACTTTTACCGAGCGGTGATTTAACGCGAAAAAGAACAGAAGATTTTTATGGCAGATAAAATACTTGGATGTTACAGTAAAAAATATTTCTACATCGAATTCGTTTTGTTTTCTATATATTTCTTTTCTGAATTTGGTATTCAAGAACCGGTCAAAAGGAATTGAATGTAACAAAAATAACAGGCTTCCACGCGGATGTTCAATTCGTGGAAAGGGAAGTGCACGAACGATCGAGTATCGAAATTGGCTTAACCCTGCCGCGCTATCCTATCGCATCTGCATGCTCCTAATTTTTCCGCGTCGGTCTGCGGTCGGGCTGGAAACTCACCAGATTTCTAAGCACGTCGTCTGGCACGTTTCTAGTGGAATTGCAGAGTGCCCTGGCAGCGCTGTGAGAGAAAATCACCGGTGCCCTCGTCGTCTGCAAGGCAGCCCTCATGGTCCTTGTCGAGACATGAGAGAGGTCCACTAGCATTCCCAGTCTGTTTAGTTCCCTGACAACTGCCTGAAAAATAATAAGAAATAATATGCATCTTCCCTGAGAACCTCTTGACTCTTTTAAATCCCTCTTGAACCTGCGTGTGAATAAAATTTTTTGCTGAAATCTTTCTCCCCTTCGCGGCCTGTGAATAACGTTGATAAAATTCTGTAGACCAGCCGAGAGCAAAAATAGTTGAATATTCAATGGCAATTGAAACAATGCCACAAAGAGAATTATACCATATCAATCAACGATAATTAAATGCGCGTGCCGACCGGGCGATGTGGGACAATTTCAAGAACGTATCATTCCACGCGTCGCTAATTTGATTCTTGCCTTCGGGCGGAATAAATAATCCCGTCGGTCATCGAACGCGCCGCATGGACGTGATAAATAATTGTCACGTACTGGAGGATCGATACACAAGGGGTCGGCCCGGTTTTCATACGCGAATTTGATTGAACCGCGTGTAATTTCGCGAACGCGCACGGTTAGAATGCAAATTTTCATACCGCGGCCAAAGAGATTACGTGATTTTACAGTTTGCCGGTAACTTTATTCGTACGCAAGCGCTACCCGACTCGAATTTCGTTCTGACGGTGACGCCACGGACACGTGTACCTATTTTACATTCACCCCTGCCCGTGGGCATTACAGAAATTAACAGCCATAACGAATGGCTTGGTGTGTACACTCTCGGGATGTACATACGTACACGAGCACGGAGTTCTTTAATTAATAGAACGAAATACACGCGGACTGCAACATTGACCGTGCTACCAATTTTTCTCTCTTCCTTCGTTCCGGTTGGCTCATACCTTTAATCCTGAATAAAAGTCATGTTTTTTTAACTATTTACTTGTAATATGGGATAAAATGGAATGTCTAAATATTTCTTATCGTCATTGAATAATTCAGAAATTGTGTGATTAACCCGAGGCGCTATCAGAATGAAAATTCTTAGCTTCCTTACTTCAGTGGTTTAAGACTTCTGAAAGTTTATGGGGGCTTAGCAATTTCACGCAATTAGAAGTGGTGCTACTCGGAGGTAACTACTCTAAAACGCCGGAGGGTTGTATGTGTGCGCTCGGTCTAGCGAAGATATCCTTAATTTTTTCGGTGCAATTTCACAGGCCGTTGATTAAGAAAGATGATCCTAACTTCGGTTAATGCGCGAGCTAGGATATTACACCATCGGTCAAAAGTCTAACTCTCCTTTCCGCGTGAGAATTAGCACAATTTTATATGATAATATAAAAGGAGTATTTGTTGAGAAGAAAAACATTTTCAAACAGGCTAGTAGATTTCTAATGACTAAAATCACGTTGATCGAAGAAACGAAATCAGAGCATGGAAAGTAGGAAATAGGGTAGAGGTGAAAAATATCAGGGAACGAAGAAAACGTCGATGTTTCGACTAGCGAACATTAGTCGATGGCGTAAGCAAGTCGCCTCTTCTGTCAGGCGAAAATAGTAGAAAAAAGCAACGATGCATAGAGCATGGACGTCGATACGAGAGAAAGGAAAAGAAGGAACACAATGGGCACCGTGTTTGTGTCTATGTGTGTGTGTGTGTGTGTGTGTGTGTTTTTTTTTGAGCACACCCTACCTTTAACGAGAAGTCAGTGATGCTCGTTTTTCTCGACACGCGCGATTTTGTAGAGACAACGGGGACGAGGTGTTTCCATCGATTTAAGCCAGCTTTCTATGCAGCCATTCGTTTTCGACCGTTCATGCAGAATATTTAATATGTATTAGGTAAAGGAAAGAATACAGGACTGTTCCGGAAGAATACGATTTTCATTCATACTTGCGTTTCTGTTTCTTATCAAAGACCCTAATAGCCTATTATTTTATATATTAATTTATTCAAGCAGCTTTCTTCAATAGAAATAAAAATGAATTATGAAGATAATATAGATATTGCATATTTGATTATTTTTATATCTATTTTTACTATCGACAGTTTTATGAACATGAGCATTGCTCAAAGAAACAAGTAGATAGGAAATACCGTAGCATTCAGTACAATCGAAGGATAAGATAGGAAGGGAACAGGGAAAATATTCTATACAGAATGCAAGCATATGCGCATCGAATGAAACCACTTCGTGAAATATATCTTCCGGTCGACCACGAGTGGAGGATATAGTTTCGAATTTAAATAAGAGAAAGGTTTCGCGAAAAAGCTGTGCAGCTCAGAGGGATAAATATGAAAGCGACCGCAGGACCTTTCGCACTTGCTTTTTTTTTATATCTCCAGGTTTACATGGATTCAGGATCATTTTTCAAACGCAGTAGGGAAACCAGTATTTCTACGTTTTCATTTTTCCTCTCGGTTCGAACATCGCGAATTGAATGACGTTGTTTGGTACTGTTTTGCTTAGAGATTTTACATTTTTGCAAAAATATATTTTATCTCGTTCGTGTTTTTTTCATATTATCTTGGAAATTGAATATTGTAACATTTATGTTTGGTAGTACGAAACTCGTTCTATCGCGATTTGTTCGCGTTGTTGTCCGCGGGCTTACGCAATGTCATATAGCGCTATTGAAAGCCACTCGAATTCAATATCGGGAAGGAAACAACGGGCAAGAGAATCTTTCGGGGGATTCGGGTTACATCACAAAATTATTTTCAGTCCATATCGTAACAGCGTTCCGAGTTGTAGTATTGCGGAGAGGGTTGTGCAGAGGGAATGGAATAAGACAACCTCGGAATAGCTTTGAAATCCTCAGATTAGTGGAATTTTATAGTAAATCGTCTGGCAGCGTTGCCGTGTGCCCCCTCCGCAATAACGATTTTGTTCCGACGTTGTATTCGATATAGTCACCCCGGTGTGCTTGAACAATCGAGCCGTGTCTGGCAATGGTGGTCTCGTGCTTGCACACAAACACAATATAGGCAGAGTTAAAGGGGTTGCTCTGCGGGTACAATACTAAACAAAAGTTTTTACTAAAAACGAATATCACGTTTTTTTCTTTAAGTCGCTAAATCAAAGAGATAATGAATTTGGTTATTTTAATTATATAAATGAGCAAGAACATAGATTAAAATTGATATAGAATTTAATTTAGAATCTTATACAATTTATATATTTGTACTTTTTATCATGACGTAAATGTTTCAATTTTTATTCGATAATACATACTTAGAAGGGATCTCTTGTACAATTATAAATACGGTAATACACAGTGGTCTAAAATTTTTGTGTAGTACTGTAAATGAGAGAACGAAGGGAAGAAACAAAGAGGCAAAGGGCAGCATCCAGAAGAGCGGATGCAAGTAGAGAGAAATGGTGGATGGTGGGAAAGATAGTAGAGATAGCTTATTTGATTTACGTCCTCGTTTGCATCTTCTCTACTTGCAATTCTTTTCTCTCTCTCCCTGTCTCTCGTTCTGTATCACCTTTCCTCGTCCCTCCTTTTTTTTTATCACGCGATGCGAACTACCGAGAGACTACAAATTCCACGAGATCGAATAAAAAAAAAGTTTCATTCTTGTTACGAAAAAAGATTCACCTGTAATTTTTTTGCTTTCCTTTCTCTATACCATCGGGATATACCGGGACGCCGTGTAACGAATGATAGAAATTCTACCAGAAAATTCGTTCGATTTTGTTTTAGCGCGCGAAACTTCGAACCGCGAAGCTTGAATAGGATCTGGGTCACACTCATAACTTCCCAAAGAATGAAGAAGCGTCGCGTAAATAGAGCGCACGTCGTCATTGATTGCTTTCCATTGATTATTATTTAGCTCCGTCCGTTGGGAGAGAGAGAGAGAGAGGGAGAGAGTCAGGGAGAGTGCTACGGTTACTTATAAATATAGCGTTTATCGCAGAAAACGATCGTTCTTTAATATCTCGTCCAACCGTTTTCAATACGCAGGAAATATCTGGCGAAGCATTCATTTAAGATGTGCAGAATAAGTTTTTCTTTTTCACGAAACCATTTTAATTATAACAAGTTGTTTTGTATAATACCCTCTCAATTTACATTCGGTTAATTCGCTTTAATTGTTCCACGTAATTGTTTTTGAGATTCGACCATTTATATTTACTTCAATAGAAAATATATTTCAAGCAGGCTCTTCACAAAAGTGATTCAGAATGTTTTCGTATACGCTTCAAGTGGGAAGATTTCATAAAAACGTATTAATTTAAAGAAAAGAACAGAATTTATATTTTACGATGAAAATCAGTGGTACAGGCTTTCATCAATTCTAAATTCAATATGTCATTATAATTATAATATTATTATTATTATATTTATAATTAGTTTATCTTTGTGTGAACTCACCTTTCCGAACTCACTGAGGCCTGGCGTTGTGTCCTGGGTACTGTTCGTCTCGCCAACAGAACAGACTGCCCTGCCAAGAAAATGTCTGTTAGAACTCTTTTCTCCTCGCCGCGTAAAACTGCCGGAAAATTCAATAATTTTTCAATACACGAGGCTTTCGTTTTTCTTCACTCGGAAAGCGGCGATAACATTTTTCACGTGTGCAATCGCGATTTCTCGCCACCGTCGAGTCTCCCCTTTATACTTATACATCCACACATCCATAAATTCGACGTTATGCCCTTTGACAAACCGGACGAAACTAAAACCTCGCACCGTAAATTTTCCTTTTCACGAATAAATATCGACAATATTTGTTTCGAGTGAATCGTTATTAAAGTTCGTACAAACGTGTTCGTCTTCATTATTATCGGAGGGCGCTTTCGGATTGGAGTTGATAACTGTTGAGAAGATTAAGTTATAAATGATTGGATTCAGCGAGCATCGTGCTCACCATTTAAAACTCTGCATTGTTATTTGAATCCTATTGAAATTGATAACGCTATGCACGATGTCTGATACATCGTTTAGTTGTACTACTTAATCCGCTTTCGTAGCATTTTCTATTAAATTTATGGTGATTCAATAAAAGCGGTGTTTAAAGACTGTCGATCAGTTACTGACGACTGTGATTCAATTTTCCTAATGTACGAAAAATGATTATCCATTCGCCGGGATGAGGACTCGGATGAGATCAGAAAGGTGTTTGGACGAGGTTCGCTTTTTGTTTCCCCGCGGGTAAAATTTAATCCGAGCACAGGGGGAAGAGGGTGCAATTTTCCGGATCAGTTTAAGAATCGAGAAATAATTTGTCACCGGTGAGAAGCGATTCTGGAACGCGCGTTGGGATGGTTCCGGTGGGCGGGTGGTCACGGCGCGGAGGGCAAAGACGCCGAAAGATCGACATCGATTCGCGAAAACGTAGAAAATTTAATTCGAGGAAAGTCGGTAATCTTTCTTCTTCCGTCGATTCCCACCACCGGTGCTGTACCGTCGCCTCGCGTCGTCGCGGAAACGTTTTCAGTGGTACGTTTTCAGAGAAAGGTCGACGGCTCGTCGTCATCGAGAACTACGGAAAATCCAATCGTCCCGGCAATTCCCCGTTCCTACGAGGAACAGCCGGGAACGGAGACAAAGGGGGCGCGAGAAATAGGCCGGGCAGATAGAGAACGCCGGTTAGAAATTGACGTTATGCCTACGGAACACCTTTCCTAATGTGACTCGGTATTGCCGCGATAACAGAGCCGTTCGATGATAGTCAATAATCAGTAACGAACAAGCTCTTAATTTTTTAATTTTAAAGATATTTATACACT